TCAACGCTGATGCAGTCAGATGAACAAGACCTTCGCGGGAAACAGGTTTATTATTTATTATCAATGCACACAGTTGGGGCAGAACGTTATAGAATGAACGAGCTGCATGGAAAGAGCCCTGAACTCACCCCTTCACCCGAAAGAGCTCAGCCTTGCCACGTTCCTCGCTCACCACGTCAGGAACAGAGGCTGCAGTCTGTTGATCAACAATAAGGGTGCTCCTTCCTACGCCCACAAACTGGGTCATCAGGGTCTCTGCCCCCAGCACAGCATGAACTGAGCTGTCACTTGGTGAGCTATTCTTAAGGAAAAGTTACAGGGATTATTAACTCTGGCACTATTTACAGAACTCTTTGCTAATCACCAGCCATTTCCCCCTCATATTAAATCTGAGATACAGGAAATTAATTTGCCTCCCACAATTCTCGCACCCCATTACTTATCTATAAGCTCATTTCCTTTCATTCTTCTCCAGGTTCTCTCTCCTGGCCTCATCTTGCTCGCTGGCTTGCTTTCCTTATACCCAAAGGAATTAAACAAACAAATGTCATCAAAAGCTCTGAACTGAATATAGAGAACAAACAATTCTAAAGCTGTAAAGTCCATTCAAGGTCATATTCCGTTCCTTCCACTAGTGGCAAGCAGACTGAGGCACAGAAAGGCAAAAGCCGGCTCTTGTAGCATTGTTCAGCGTCTGGGTTTGTTCTGATAGTAGCTCTTACTAATGTAGGAACTTGCTAAAGGAAAGACCATGGTCCTGTCTTTGGATTTAGCAAGCGCCTTTCTCCAAAAGCCAGCAGTCTTAGCTGCCCTGTGTGAAACTGCTTTGTCATCCGGAATGTAGTCTAGAAATATTGCTTATCATCAGTACCCTGGGATGACATTTGTATCTCCACTCTGAGGGCACATCTAAAGGAAGTGAGGGCTTGTGAGTGTGAACATTTCATTTAATAAGATCTCTAAAGCTGGGCTTGGTGGTACTTGCCTGTAACCCCAAAACTCTGGGGAGCTGAAGCAGAAGGATTACATATTCTAGCCCAGCGTAGGCAATTTAGCGACTTAGCAAGACCCTATCTCAAAATAAAAATAAATAAATAAAAGGGCTGGGCAAGTAGGTCAGTGTGAAGGTTCTGTGTTTGACCAATTATTTCCAAATTAAACAAAACAAAACACTCTAGTGTCACTAAAACACATTAACTGCATGGATTATACACTTTCAATTCTCACATTTAAATGTCACAAAACTTTTAGGAGAGCAGTAATGGAAAGACAGAGGACATTACATGCTGACACTATGTGTTATTCTTGTCAGCCCACTGAACCACATGTAAATCCATTCTCTTCTGAGAAGTGGACATTTTTCTCAGTTTTTAAGAGAAATGAAATTCGTCTTGTGAATACTCTGAGTATTTCCCTTTTCTTCCTTAACACACATTTAATTTTTTAATATTTAAAATTTTTTACTTTTTTTGTTTTTGATTTACAGTGGACCATGTTACTTCTTGACCTTGTCCCTGGATTTCTCATCTAAGAGATACTTTGCCTTTGGCCCAAGAATTTCTAGAATTAGGTTTATGGCAACAGTATGTTTTTCAAATATCAAGTTCTACAGAATCATATAAGTAATGAAAAATGCTATACAGAGCACCTCCACTTTTTAAAACCTGGAAATCACCCAAAAGACAATACTTTCTTTGTTTTTATCTATTTAAAATAAAGGTTAGAATTTGCTACTAGGAAATGGAATCAAATCGTACTAACCTTTCCCATCTCTCTCTTCTCGGGCCACACAGACAATGAGGAGGCTCCATGACCCTGGCATCTAACACTAGCTTGGGCTGAAACACTTGGTTGAGAGGAAGAAATTCCAGTTATTTAAACTGGCTGAACCCAATTTAACACCTCCAAGACCTAAAACGGCTCTACCGTTCCTTGGGAGGGCCACAGCATCCTGGCATTACATGGACTTAACATCGGCTGTAGAGACCCTGCCTCATACTTGGGTGGGCTGCTCCCAAATGCAGGGCTAGGAGCCATTAAATGTGAAGACTTGACCTAACGGTGAGGGGAGAATGAAGGTAACATCTGCAATCTCAGCCGCTGAACCAGGAACCAAAGCAGAGAGCTGGGCGTAGTGGTGGTGGGGTGAATCTAAATTAATCTCATTTGCTCTCAATTTAAAAGAATTTTTAAAAAGAACTTCCTGAGAGCAGAAACTGCCACTATGAGTGTTAGAGTAAGGCTAGCTGTGGGCTGTGACTGGCCTGACAAAGGCTAACTCTTACCCAGATGTCCAATAAAAACACTTAGTAAGTATCATTTCCATAAGGCTTTGTCTACTTGAAACACAAGCCAATTGTTTGGGTCCAATTTATGAAGCAAGGTCTTACAAAGGTTATGGGGTGAGGGGACCTGATGACAACTAAATTGCCTTAAATGGAGCTCAAAATACCACCTTAAACATTCTCCTCTCCCAAGAAATGCTTAATCATAAATCAAGTGGCTCAAAACGTATTAAAAATGACAAATAGAAAAAGCACTTACAACTCATTTTTTCCTTTTAATTCACTGATGCATCAAAGATTTCTGAAGGATATTATTCTACACCAAAAAAAAGGGTGAAGTATATGAGGAATGCAAGATTCTGGGGATAAAAGAGAAGATTAAAAATAAAATGGTGGTGGACCAGACTTAATGTTTAACATTATTCTGAAAAGAGACATACTCATTTTAAGACAAGGAGATGAGGACTGTCTGCTCTGAACTTGTAAGGAGCGGAGAATCTCACAGTAATTGGACATATGTTTCTCATCTTCGAAGAACTTATGCATCCATTTTAATGCATTAAAGTTCATGGGTCCTATCTGTCCACATCGAGCCTGCTCCTTCTTCCCATCATACGTTCTTTAACAGGATTTTGATTTCAATGAGAGGAAAAAAACCCTCCAAAACTCACTAATGTTTCCTGAATTTCCATTAGGCTAGCTTTAGAAGGAGTTTTAAAGAATGTGCTAAATGAAACTTTATGGGCAGGAATCCTTAATATTCCATTACTTTTTGATAACAAGTTATTTTTATGTTTTCCTTCCTCTGGGTGCAGAAATGAAGGTTCAGCAATAAGAATTATTACTTGCCGAGCCCAAGATGCAAATGTGTCTTGACCTGGAGTAGATTAGAGAGGGCATCATGGCGAAAAGCCCAGCCTAGCAAATCATGGCACACCTCCTTAAAGACACTGACTCCAGGCAGTTGGGGTGCTCAGGAAGGAAGGAAGGAAGAGCAAATGCTTTGGACATAAGTCTTCTTTCTCCTTTCCTGTTATCCCAAAAAATACTTAGAGAAGTCAAAAAATTCTCGAGGTACTGGGTCTGATTCCTTTTTTTTTTTTTTCACAGCCATTTTCGGTCTGCTTGGAAACATCTGTTTTTAATTGAATTTAGATTTGAAAACTAATTTTAGTGAGATGGGGTTCAGGCTCCAATCAAGTTAGAACGGAGAGATTATTGCTTATACACATATCCCAAAATTCAGGGAGGCTTGAGGCCAAGGATGCTATACTTCCTGAAAGCATGCACGAGACACGTGCACTTGAAAATGAAAAAGGAATGCCTAATTCTCTCAAGGAAATTTCTTTAAGGCCAATGATTTTGAGTTTTGGGTTACAGCTTTTAGACTCGGAACTTGATTTTGGGAAAGGTCAGTTAGAGGACACTACCCTCCCACGCATTCCATATATGGAGCAAGAGATTAAGCATTCACATGATCAAGGCCAAAATAAAAACAGCACTACGGGTTGCTCATTGAGAGATCATAAATCTACCCCATTCTCAAAGTTTGAAAGAAAATGAAACAAACACGCTATCATCTAACCATTATTTCTCTCAAAGGCGTGAAGCCCTTCTCTGTTACCAGCAACTCCTTGAAGCAGGAAGATGAAGAAAGGAGAATGACTCAAGGTTCCCCTTGCACAGGTTCTGGGACCACCTGCTGAGCCCTGGGGCTCAGGAGTCTACCGTGATCTACTCACCAACTCAGTGTATTCTAAGGCTTCCGCCTCAAAGCATCTAATTTTAAGTGGAGGTCTCGTTTTTCAGCTTCAAAAAATATTTTTATTCATTAGTGCTCTTTTGCAAAGTACTAAAATCATAAAGAGCTGCTAAAGTACAAGAGGCTATTTTGATTTTCTTTAATGACTCAGTCAAACAAATTCATGCCAAGAATTCTTAAGTGACTATTTAATACTTTGTTCGACAATCCATAAAATGAGTCTTGGATTCCTCACATTGCAGTTTGGCTGACAGTGGAGCCAACTTTATCAAGCTGATCAAAATAAACATCCTATATGTCTTAAATCAAAGTATCAATGACTAAAAAAATGCAGAACTGTAATTCTTTAAGTCTGACCATGTAATTATTTGAATTTCAGTAAATGCAGATATTGAACAAGCACCTTCTTATTTGTTCCCTGTACTCAAAAGATGTAACTTTAAACACCATTGCCAATTTTTACTAAATTCATTAACCAATTATTTCAAATCCTTTCTTCCTATAAACTATTAACTCATAGGATTCACTTTCATCGACAAAAGATAAAACACCAGTTACAACTGATTTATCTAAACTGTTGAGGTTTTCAGAGGGAACATGCTCTTTCTTCTTAATAGCCGCTCTTATGATCACTAAAATTTAAAACCCATTGTCATTTTTCAATGCTTAATGTTGGATCAACTTTTTATTTGCTGAACCAAAGGTAACCAAGGAATGGACTTCCATCTGAATTTGATCCCCTGCTAAGATGCTAATAATACAGGAAACTTTGGAAAAGAGAGCTTTCCTTTTATAAAATAATGTTTCAAATATAAGAATGAAATGTTTATAGCATTAGCTATTCTATTTTTTAGAGGTGACAATATAACAATAAGAACATTTTTATTCTTGAGTGGCATGCTGGTGGCGAAGGATACAAGTTGAGAAATAAGACATCAAAACTTTCAACAAACCAAGGAAAATGGGTGGAAAGTAGGCATTCTTGTGACACTGGGCTCCTGGTGCCTTTGTAGCCACACTAAGTCTATATATGCATTTCCTGGTCATGGCCGATACAAACAGCAGAAAGGAACTCCATTCAGTAGATCATCTTTGGAACTAATAAAAGAAACAAGGAAGATGTTCATAAGTAATTTTAATGCCTTTTCACTATATAACACTTATCTTCTTAAGTCACCAAATTTTAAATTGTATTTCATTAGAATAAATTACATCTTCTGACTATAAAAATAATACACATTCCTTATAGAAATGTTGGAAGATGTAGGAAACATGAAGACTAAAACAGTATCACCCATAATCTCAACACTCACAAATAGTACAGAGGAACATTTCTTTTTTTTTATGCAAAGTACATGACTATACATACAAGGTTCATAATGTTTTGTCATGCCCTTTCTCCGTTATTATATATTGTAAGAATTTTCACATCATTGCAGATTCTTTACCAACTTTTCTTGCAGTGTTAGGGATCAAATCAGGGGCCTCATTCATGGTAGATAATCACTCTACCACTGAGCTATACTCCAAGCCTCAGACTTTGAAGGTTCTTGATATAAACAGTACAAATGTCTTCCACAAAAGTTAGAGCAATTATACATCATATGTTTTTCCTAATTTGTTGCTTATGTTTTGGTTTTTTATTTAATGTAAAAATATATCAAATCTTTATAGTTAATTATATAAATAATTTCCCTTCTCATCCATTTGTTTCAACACTAGAAAGTACTAAGATTTAAACGCTTAACACTTTTTCTATGCGTGATATTAGTGACAATTCTTTTAAGTACCACTAAGCACTTAACACCTCACTCCAAACTGGATTGGGAGTTACTAAATGCTAACTACTATGAGGCTGCCTCTTGGGCTCATTTTCAAGGGAATTCTGAGGGAAGGACCATAATAATCTCCTGTTAACAAAATATCATTTCCGGGGGCTGGGGATTTAGCTCAGTGGCACAGCACCAGCCTGGCAAACACAAGGTCATGAGTTCGATTCCCGGTACCAGAAAAAAAAAAAAATTCATTTCCATGAAGCTTCTCTATTCAGAACATGTGATGGGCTCCCTTATTGCTGATTACTGGTTTGTCCATTTCTCTCTGGTTTTTTCCCTTGCTTTTGAAATACTTCATTTTAAAATACTGACAAATACGTAAAAATATTTGGACCAGATGGACATCCAAATGTATTAATTATGGAATAATATGATTTTCCTCTCATTAAGTATTTAGAAACTCTTAGGTCCTTAATTTCCAGGCCCCTAGCAAATGAAACAATGAACAAATATCTAACTGGGAATTCAAATAAGTCATGGATAGTTGAAAAAAAATCAGAAAAAGTACACATGTACATTTTGGGTCCTTTCTAGGTTCCACAGTGAAGTGTATTAATTACAGAGCACAATAGTGATTCTTTCACAAGTTGAAATAACCACAATATCCATGCCAAATGCTTTTGTAAAATTTATTGTGATTTCATTATATTAGTATTAATATGCAAACCCAGAACAACAAATGTAGGTAACAATTTTATCTGATCTAAATTCTGATGCCTAAACTGAAAGACACTTAACAAGCAACAGCAAAATGTTTGAGCAAGAATCAGTTCAACACTGTGACTTTCAAACTGTTGGTCCCAAAATCACTCAGAATCTAAGGCACCTTCCAAAAGGTAGACACAATGTGATAAGAAGCACTTTTGATTGATCTGAGCATACAGAGCAAGTAATGCACTTCCATTTCTATACAGTTAGCGAACTGAGATCCCAAGTAGAATATACAAGATAGCTAGCCAGAAATAAATCTTGACATCACAGTTATACCAGGAGTATACTCAAAGAGTATCACAGGAAGAACATGAGTATGAAGCATCAGTCTAAATATACATTAGGATCTAAATATTTAGGGAAATTGGAAATCATTAAAGAGAGTTGGGATGAACCTTTTTTCCCATGCTCTTGTTATTTTGGACTGTGACAGTTAAAATGAATTTTCAATGTGATTGGCTTGACAACCACAGACTTCTGGGTGTGCCTGGGTGTGTCAAGGAGGCAGGACTTAGAGTACTGTATGTGATCCCTGGTCTTGTCCTCTCTGACACAGTTCCCATGCTCTGTTTCCCATCTGCTATGAACTTCACAGCTATGCTCTACCATACTTTTCCACCATGACGTTCCTGCATGGAATGTCCTAGTGCAGCTGACCACAGGCTGAATTCTCTGCTACCAAGAGCCAAATTAAATCCCTCCTCCTTTAAGTTGTGAGTATATCATTTTTGATGGGAGAGCTGACCATGATAGAGTAAAGGGATGATAAGCATCCTATGAGAGGTAGTATTCCATAGTAAGGTAGCAAAATAACTCATCTATGCACTCAGATATGCTGTCATTTTAAGTAGTGGAAACTTCAAAAATTTTTAAGATTAGTTAAGTGTAGGATATTTTTCCCCTGGGTTCCAGATGGATTGCTGGTTCAGCCCTAAGGAGCCCCTTCTCTGACTGGAGTAAATAAAATTATTTGCCCGTAGCAGGGGCCAAGTGGGCAGGCTCACTAGCAGGACGGGTACCTTCAGTCTGGGTCAGGCCTCCGTGCTCCCTAGCCTCTGCCCCACACAGCAACAAGGTTGTGTCTGGATTTTCATGTATCCCAGTCTTACTGCGCTGCGATCAGTTCTAGTACACTACACTGCATTTTCTATGAAACCTCAAAGGCTTGAAGTTTCTTAGATGTATTTCCAGAAGTTAATAAAAACATTTTCTTAAATGTTTTATTAGGAGAACACGGGGTAAGAGAGATTACTTCTCTTTTGAAATAAAATATTTCCTGGACTAACTTTAGCATTACTGTATTTCTCTTTTGTGGCACCTATAACATTAGCAGCAATGAAAATCTGTGCAAAAATATATTTTTAAAGTAACCAAAAGATGAACTTAAAAGAATTTACAGCATTTCCAAATGAAGGTTACATTTTTTTTTGCTTCTGTTCAAGTCCTGTGTTGATTCTCCATCAATAATAGACCTTGTACTGTCATAAAGAGCACAATGGATATCTTTGTAGCCAAATGACATACAAATTCTGCAGCTTTCTACTCCCTAGTGCTTGAAAGCAAACAAATGAGGCAATGGTGAACAAGTGTCACGAGCTGTGGAACCAGTGTCTCAGGGCACAGTAAAAGAAATGACCACAGCTAAATATCACTTACCTAGTAATTAATCTCCATAACACTTCTAAGATTTCCAGCGTAGTTCCACAATAAAAGATATCTAGGGAGGAAAAGATATGCCCTTTTGTTAGAGCTCAGCATTGGTAGTGAACCTATCACTATCACAAATGCACCTGAGAACAGGACAGACACAAATAGCACTCAACGGACCCTTGTGATTGGCTAGTTACAGGGAACTAGCAGTTTTAATTGCCCAGCTACACATCTGCAAAGCAATATGTCCATACTAGTGTTGACAGGGCACGGGAAGGACACTGCAGTGATAAAGAAGATAGTGCAGCACAGGATCGGAGGAGAGTAAAAACCGGTGTTAGTGGGAGTAGACGCCAAAAGAAATTAATCACAGCAACCAAGAGTGTGACTCAGGCCTCTGAAAGAAGGAGGATGGCAGTAAAAAGTCCTGAGCTTGAGACAGACAAAAAGCAAAGGGACTGTGCATCACTAAGGCATAGCTGGAACACCAGGGATCTTACAATGGAGAAACAGGAGTGATTTGATCAACAAACTCATACTGAACTCCTTCATTTCTAAGGACCAGGAACACAAGACTAAGCAAGTAATATCGCTGCTCCTGGAAGCTATAAATAAAGTTATTACATCACAAGAAATACATCTCCTGTATCTTCATCTAGATCGCTGAAGGCTGTCAGCAGAGCCAGTCAAAGGTGCATTTTGGAAGTCTTGCCAGGGAATAAAAACAAAAAGCAACAGGCCCATAAACTCTCCAAATACAGAACAGAATGATTCATTCTCCATAGACGCTGGCTGTCTATGACCTTATTCTATCAGGTATTAATAAAAGCTTGAGAATTTCCAGGAGTGATGATCAAATTGGATACTCTTGTTTAGGGAGATAGGATATCCTGGGATGTAAATGTAAAAGACAAACCAAGACTAAAAAATAACCCATAAATATACATAAACCTAGGTTTAGGTAGAAAGCTTGGTCCCTCATACATGAGGGCATCATCTACCATGTGTTGCTAGGGGCAGAGTAAATACATGCAGTTCTAACATCTATAATCTATTTTTAATTTTTTACTTATGTTGCATCTGTATTAGGGTTAGATCAGGAGACATCAGACACTCAGACATCTGATTGCAAGATTCTGGGTAAATCATTCCCACTTGTTTAACATCAAAACTGATGAAGCACCTATTTAAAAACATTTGTGGACTTACAACCACAAAGGTAGAAATCATGGTTTCTTACATATTACAACCACATGTTAAGACACCAGATTTCAATAAAAAATTACCTTCAAATACATTTTGTATTTGGAGGACTTGCTTTATCCCTCCACACACTCAGGGTAGAGAGACCACTGAATACGTGTTCCTTCACAAAACTTAATTTTTTTTGAACTCTGCAATGACCCTAAGTTTAGCAGTATTCCAAATTTAGTCTACTTTGCCCACACAAGATATTATAGCTAAGCAAAACTCTGTTCCAGGAACCTCATAAATTGTATAAGCTGCTCAATTTACCCCTGAGGGAGTAAACTGAACAGAGCTGGACTGTCATAATGTTTGAGACTGTTTGCCAAAGAGATTCAGGGTTAGTTCTAGATTGATTGAACTAGTTATAGTGGTGATATATATGGATGTCCCATTGCTTTAGTAATATTTGACCAAGTAGTCCCTTTAGTTCTGATGCCAAAATTTATTTAATATTCTTAAAGTAGATTTGGTGAGGAATGAGAAGAAAAAGCAGAGGAAATTGTGTGTTCTTTAAGTACCAAGAAATTACTGGAGAACTCTCTATACTTTTATAGCTTGTTCATTCTGCCTCTATTGTGAGTGCCTGCTGTGAGATAAACATCTGGGACTCAGCCCTGAAGAAGAGAGAGACAATTTTTGTCTCTATGAAGCTTATAATTCACATGACATAATTAAACTGAACCAGCTTGACAAATATCTGACATTATCCTATACTGATTTTGAAATCTAATGGCTCCACTTCTTAGCTATGTGACCTTTGCCCGGTTTATAATGCTTTGGTTTCCGTATCTATGAAAGGAAGGTTTCTCAGTGAGAAAAGCACATATAAAAAGCCTGGCACGGTGCATGGTACACAACCGAGGATCTTCTCCTGGCCATCCTCACAGTAGTACCTAGTGGAATTTGGAACTGTTTCTGTAGCCACAACTGGACAATAAGGAAAGAGACCCATTGGGAGGCACCAAGAAGAAATTGATCCCCTTATTAATATATTGTTAAAAACCAGTTTTATTAGTGTGATAGTCCATAACTACACAAAAGAAGCAAATACATGGTTAAATTTTAAACTAGTAATCAAAGCAAAAGCAAAAGTTACGGCTTCAGTCATTCTGCCAATATATGTTAATGAGCTATTCTGTGGCAGCCTCTGAGCATAAAAATAATACCTGCCCCACGGGGTAGTGTGGAGATTGAATTGCAAAAGGACTGATCAACACTGCATATTTAGGAACTATTATGGTGATTATTTTGTGGGGATATGTTCTTAGATTGGACACAAGAGAAGTAGTACTATTTGTTGGCTATAGAAAACTCTAAAAGTATTTTACTTTTCCAGCCAATCTCTTTCTTACCTAGGGAAGCCAAAATTTTTCTGGTTTATAATTTCTCTTTATTTTCCAATCAGATAGATCACTGAAATACATGGTAATAATATGGAATCTAAACATGCCACATCCAAAAGATTCTCAAAGGACACACTGAAATGATAAAAAGAAATGTTATATCTTTCCAAAGTGATTGAAACATACAATGAATGTTTAAATTTTTTGAAAATTATAGCAAAAACCACTGCTATTAATCCCCCTTAAGATACTTGCCCTTACTTTGAACACACAGATCCGATCATGCTTGCCCCTTCCTGAAGCAGTTTTGGGAGTCCTCTTTTGTGAGCATCTAAAGTTGTGCAGCTGTAGCTGTCACAAAGTCTCAAGTCTATCCAACACTTTTACCTTTCATGGTCATTTTGACTTTGGAAAAGAGACAGAAGTCACACAGTGCCAAATATGGTGGATGAGGCAGATGTGGATACACTGTAATGATTTTTTTTGAGCCTGGCTTTCCATTGGATGACATTCAGCAATAAAATTCACCATATTTTTTTTATCACACCCTGTAAAGACCCTCTCAAAAGAGGATTTCTGGAACTGCCTCAGAAAGTGGCAAGAATGATGGGGAATTTTTGTGTGTGGGAAGTGAGGGAAATTTTGGGAATTATTAGTGGCAATATGTCTTTTACTGTAATAAAATTTTTAAAATTTGAACATTCACTATATATTTTGATCATACCTCATCTACTTTGTCTCACTGGAAATACATCTTATTGGCTTTTAACAGAGACAAGCTTCAATTACAGATAGAACTATCAGAATGAACTGTTATCAGTCTTACTTTCTTTCTTCCAGTTCTCTAACTGTAATATGTGAATTGTGAGACCATGACAATATCCATGTTCACACAGAAGATGTTTGTAAGAATCTGTAGTGGTGAAAGGATGGACACCCTTGAATGAAAACTCTGAAGCCACCATTATCAGTATCTATCATGTGGCTCTTGAGAGAAAAAAAAATAATTTACATAGTTAATTAGATTAACAAGATATTCCAAAAGTTTACAGATTCTACACTTTAATTTTTCCACTCAAGTAGGACTGTGGGTGGGCATGTTCCCCTGCAGCCCTGTAATGGTTGATACATTGTGTCAACTTGAGAAGTTCAGAAGCTTAACTAAGTAACTTAGCATTTCTACATCCTAGGATGTAGAGGACATGCCCTATGGCAGTTGTTTACACTCCAGGATGTTGTAACAGTTGATTCATTGTGTCAACTTGAGTTTAGTCTATGGCCATATCACCCTGAATGTGCCCAATCTCATCTGATCTTGGGAGAAGTTTAGAAGTTTAATGAAGTGACTCAGTAGGGGGCCACAGTCCTCATTCTGAGCCTGAGCAAGAGGAGGGTATGAAAATGCTGTGAGTGCTACACCAGCCCTAGGGAGTGATAGCCTCCTTACAATATAAGGGCAGACAAAAAGGCTTACTTCTCCCTTTTTTTGCCATTGTTGCTTTTATTGGTTTCAGCTGCCATGAACTGCTGCTCCTCTGCCCTGCCATCCTGCTTTGGAGGAAGCTGATTACAGACTGAAACCTCTATAAACTGTGAGCTAAATAAACCTTTCCTTTCTTAACTTTGAATGTTGGGTGTTTTGTCCCAGCAATGAGAGAAAAGTAACTAAGACGAGCCCTATCTCTATTTCTAGTGAATATTTTCATTGTGGAGATTGTGTCAGCACCTTTGGATCACAGTCTAGCATTGGCAAGAAGAAGAGAAGAACAAAGCACTCCTAACAGCAGCACATCAGGTTCAGCTGCCTTGAGGCAAGAAAATACTAGACTGGATAAAGATAAGAAAATAAAACCAAATGTAGATTAAAACAAAAAGAGTATATGAAAATAGGCCTCTATTCTATTCTAAACAAGTGGTCACATTAAAAGTTTCCAGATAAAATACAGAGTAGCCACACAGCATGTCTAGCATGCTTACTAAAAAAGTATTTGTTCTTTATCTGAAGTCCAGATTTAACTGGTTGTCCTGCATTTTTATTTGCTAATTTAGTAACCCAATACGTGAAGACCTCCACCCACACATAACACAGAACATTTTCTCTTTTGAAGATAAATCTTCAAAACAAAGAATTACCTGAATAGCAGTTAGTTGATAAGGTAGCAGCCCACAAAATTTATCAAATCTTTATTTATCCTGCACAGCAGAAAACCCAGAGGAACTGCTTCATCTACTTTTCCACTTTTGTAGCTCACAGAAAGCTGACTGGGAAGCAGCAATTAATAAATACACACTTACAGCACAGAACAAGTAATGAGGCAACGCAGTACAAAACATAAAGAAAACTGATGATGTACAGCAATAAGACATCTTATTTATTCATTTCCAGTCCAGGCCCTAGGATTGTTTTTTAACCTACTTTTCTTCACAGCAAGAGGCAAACATAACTAAGATCTAAGATATAAAAAAAGAAAGAAGA